TCGGCCCTATCGACTAAAATACTGCTAGGTTCAACTGAACTCGATCAACTAACATATGGTTAGGCTAGTCCTTTGATGGGGTGAGACGAGCAAACGAGCTGGCTCATGAACCACAATTTTTTTATTGAAATTGTATGTCTTACTCATTGTGACAATTCAGCTAGCACAAGAACTGGCGATCTTCCAAATGAGCTGGCTCATGAGCCAATTCAGGCAAGCCACTAGAGAAATTCACTGCTAGCCGAATCATGCAGGCATGAGCAAGTCTTCATGTGCCTCGCTTCACTTAATACATCTATGTACATAAAAGTTCACAACGAGCTATGTATTTGACAAGGTTGTCGGGCCTGGCCGAGACGCTGGTGCTGATGGTACTGCAGCTCAGCCTCTCTAGATTGGGCCACCGCTTGCAAACTAGAGACGGCTTCTCGGCTCTTAACCAGCTCCACATACTAGAATATTTTCAGCATTAATTCTTCGGGCAGGAATAAATTTATCGGATCATACCCCTTCGTGCTATTCTGTATAATTATGTGTATATACTGCACAAATTTAAAATACACATAAATGGGCACTATGAGCGAATTTAGAGTGAATGCAGTGTTAAGATTTGGGGTCCATCTTAATAAGGTCAACCTTATTAAGAAGAGTCACCCAATATCTATTTAAGTTGGTCAATATTTCGGTATTTAACTGATGTGGGATTTATTCTCTTAACAAGAGGAGTGACCCAAAATCTATTTAAGTTGATCAATATTTCGATATTTAATCGATATGGGATTTATTCCCTTAACATGTCCCCGTAAGATGGTGACTTTTTTTTAGCAGACCAATTTTGACATTTGTGTGCTCATTTTTGAGACTTAATCCGATCAAATAGCTCCTTGGAGCTTACTGGGCTCTAATACTATGTTAAGACTTGTGGTTCATCTTAATAAGATCAATCTTATTAAGAGGAGTGACCCAAGATCTATTTAAGTTGATCAATACTTCGGTATTTAACCGATGTGGGATTTATTCCCTTAACATGCCCCTACAAGATGGTGGCTCTTTTTGAGTAGACCAATCTTGAAATTCTTGTGCTCATTTTTTGAGACTTAATCGGATCGAATAGCTCGTTGGAGCTTACTGGACTCTGATATCATGTTAAGATTTGGGGTCCATCTTAATAAGGTCAACTTTATTAAGATGAGTGGCCCAATATCTATTTAAGTTGGTCAATATTTTGGCATTTAACTAATATGAGATTTATTTCCTTAACATGCCCCGCAAGATGGTGGCTCTTTTTGAACAGATCAATCTTGAAATCAGTGTGCTCATTTTTTAGGCTTAATCGGATCGAATAGCTCGTTGGAGCTTACTGGGTTCTGATACCATGTTGAGATTTGGGGTCCATCTTAATAAAGTCAAAATTATTAAGAGGAGTGGCTCAAGATCTATTTAAATTAGTCAATATTTCGGTATTTAACCGATGTAAAATTTATTCCCTTAACATGTCCCCGCAAGATGGTAGCTCTTTTTTAGCAGACCAATCTTGAAATTCGTGTGCTCATTGTTTAAACTTAATCGGATCGAATAGCTCGTTGAACTTTACTGGGCTCTGATACCATGTTAAAATTTGGGGTCTATCTTGAGAAGATCAACCTTATTAAGAGAAGTGGTTCAAGATCTATTTAAGTTGATCAATGATAAGTGTGTTTTTACACGCTTATTTAGCCCGCAAACATGACTTCAACATGAACAAAGTAGTTGAATTATGACTTAATCTCGTTAAATTCATGCAATGTAGGTGTTTCTATGGAAAAGATGGAATTCAGAAGAAAAGAACCGAAAAAGGACCAAAACGGAACAAAGCGATAGTTCGGGGACCAAGTTGCAAATAATTCATAGATGAGACGGGAAATGGAATGAAGATTCAAGAGTATTAGAGGTCAATTGGATGATGAAAGGAGTCAAGAGGTGAAATATGGTCGAAGTATTATCAAGTATCAACTTTCAGGCAAAAAAGTTATGCTCATGATTTTGAGTCTTTACTTTAGATCCATTTTTGCCATAGTAAACATCAGAATTTGAAGAAGCCTATTTCTATCAAAAGTGTATATCTTTGAGTTTTCTTCTCAATTCACTTTGAATCACTTCAATCGAAGATCGAGAGAGAAATTTATGACCAAAATATTGAAAGCTATCAGACGGAAAAATTTCTATAACCATGCGGCTGCGTGGTTATAATTCCTTACGGTCGCACAAGGCAGTACAGAGAAAAATCTGAGCTGAAACTTCTGAACCATACGGTAGCATGGCTTTATACCATGCGGTCGCATGGTATAAAAATGTGACGAAATCTCAGATTTCGTTATTCAACTCAAACACAATTTAGTAAGATTTTGGGCGACTTCCTTGACCTAATTCCGCCTCCAATAAATACCAGATGACCCTGAAACATAAAGAGGGGGGAATATACACAATTTTGGAGGATTTAGAGAGGAAGAACAAGGCAAAAACAAGGCAATCCACTTCAAGATTCAAGATTTCACTTCAAGAATCAATTGGGTGATGTTCTTCCTTGATTTTAATTATTGTTTTTCTTTATTTCCCATTATGCTAGGCTAGATTTTCAATTGCTAGGTGATCGATGAACCGTTGTTTGTTATTTTAATTCTATATTTCATGAATTTAATATAAAGACTCGTTTGGATAATTTGATTGATTTACATGCATTAATTTTATTCCGCTATTAGTGGTCAATGATTGTGTGAGTGTTGATGGCTTATTTTTTATATTCGAGAGAAGTGGAATAGGTTCGATAAGGTGTAAATTAACATAGGGTCCGATAGGGGATAGAGATATACCCTTATGCTTTATGCAATTCTTAAATTGTTCACAAAACTACATGCATTCTTGTATGTTTGCATCATCCATAGAGATATAGGCTGATGGTGTGCAAGAATAGGTCTAATATATATCGAGATAGTATATTGGATAGAATTAGGAACATTGAGTTGGCAAATTTTCATCGAATCATTAATTTTATGAAATTAGGGTTTCTTTATAACTTCAATTGTGGATTCGTGATTTTAGTGACTTTAGTTTGATTCATTTTAATAAATTAGCTTTTAAACTTGCTTAATTTCATTTACTTTAGTGTTTAAGTCGTTTAATTAGAGAAATTTCAAAATTAGGGTTTCTAATTGAGAAATTAGGGTTTTCAATTGAAATTAGGGTTTTTAGTTGAAATTAGGGTTTTTAATTGAAATTAGGGCTTTTTACATTTAGACCATATTTTCACTCAATTAGATTCGGTTAAGGCTAGATTATATAGAATTGAACTATTCAATCTCTGAGGGACGATATTCGGACTTTTAAAAATCCACTTTATTACTTGTTACAAACCGTACACTTGCGGTAATTTTAAATTGAAAGAATTATTTCGTGAACAATCAATATTGAGGTACTTAATCGATGTAGAATTTATTCCCTTAACATGCACAGGGGTTAATTTTCTAATGGACATCCAGTTTCATACTTATTTTCATCTTAGTCACTAGACTTTAATTTAATTCAGACTCGTACTGAACTTCAGCATCCATTTTTTAACTGAAACCCCTATTTGTTATTGTGTCAAGTCATCAAACTGTTAGAATTTTCAGTTAAATCCTACTACTTGGTACAGAAGTTCAAGAAAAATTAATAAATTATCATTAAGTATATTTATGACCCATTTAGTCTCTAAAGTTAAATATTAATAATTGGTCACTTCATTAACTTGTTAAACATTTACATGGACTAAAGGCTTTTAGAGCTTGATTCATTTCAGGTTCCCTCCCATTTTAGCTTTGCCGGGATCATCTAAGGGTTTAGGATTAAAATGAGTGATTTGAAATTTTTTTTGGCCGAGACTTTTTCTCCTAAAAATCGTGATTCGTTTTGAAGATTCGTAATTTAACGAGATGTCAAGGTTTAATAAACTGAGGTCAAATCTGGAATAGATGCCAATAATTTCTCTTATGAGCACTTAAAGTGAGATGTGCCATTATAGGCAATCTAGACCTATATCATTGAACCCAAACTTCATAAATGAATAATGCAATTTAGTACAATTTGTGCGTAGCACTAATCAAGGTGGAGTTGACCTCATATTCTACACCCTATATGTGTGTGTGTGTCTCTGTGTGTGTGTGTACACAATTGGTGCGTAGCACTAATCAAGTTGGAGTTGACCTCATATTCTACACCCTACGTTTATGTGTGTGTGTGTACACACACACTTGTACACACACACACACACAAAGAAATGATCTCCTAAGTGTCGGTGATATGGTACACTATTTAATTGGTAAATAATTAAATACATGGAATCTAACTTATTCATCAATTAAATATTGTGTCATGTCATTGGTGTTTAACATAACCTAAAGAAAGGTGTTTAGGAGATCATTTTCGTGTATATATATACACACACACAATTGATTACAATTGTCGAATCATAATTGTACGATGCATGATCCTCTACTACCTAGATATATGCTTACAATGGTGATAAATAATATTACTTCACACAAAGACAGATAAAAGGCAAATCTCCCATCACTATAAGCAATCTTGCTATGTGACATCGTGTTGTTGGTCATTAAATTGAGGGTTTGTTTGATATAGTTACTTTTTGCTAGGAACTGGTAAAGATTATTTTTACCTCATGTTATTCCATCTACACCTTTTAATCACATATTTCATGAGATCTATAAACATATATCAACTTTATTTGTTAAAATCCTATATCAAACATGCGCCGTGTCCCATTCTTGTAACGTTGAAAGAGTAGGTTGAGAAAAGAAAAGGAGAGGTCCAAAATGCCACTCACAAACCCCCAAACAAATAGAATAATTTAGCTTTGGAGGTAACTTAATATAAAAATTATAATATTTTATAATTCCATTAGGTGACAGAAAATATATATGAAACCATGGTACAAGAAACATGTCACGGGACTCTACATAACAAGACTTGAATCTCCCCTTCACACAATTCCCACTCCAATTACATCTCCCTATAAATCAGAGCTTTTAAGCATACCAAAGCTTCCATTTTTCAGTACTAGTTTCCGCAACTCTTTCTCCCCTTTCACTTTTCAATGGCTTCTCCTCAGCACTCATTGAAGTTTTTGTATCTCCTCGTCTTGGTTTCCATTTTCTATTTTTTTCCAATTCACGCCCTTGACATCGGTATCCTTGCAGATAGAGGCCAGCTATCCTTGGTTAGTGAATCTTTATCAGCAGATCGTGAGATCCAGCCTACTCGACTGCATGCAGTGTGCCAGTGTTCATACCTAGTTTTTTTCTTTAACCCATATAATTTAAATGATTTTTTTCTTGCTTTTGTAGAATAAAGAATGCAGTAGAACATGTGAATCAAGTTTTTGTGGAGGTGAATCCTTCGTCCTCTGTAAACCATTATTATTATATTTTATTATTGAATAAATCAATAAATTTTATTTGCAGTGCCCCCATTTTTAAGATATGGAAAATACTGTGGAATTCTATACACTGGATGTCCAGGAGAGCAGCCTTGTGACCGCTTAGATACTTGCTGCATGAAGCATGATCAGTGTATACAAATTAAAGGCAGTAAGTTTTTGTTTCTACAAGTTAAGCCTATTAGAATATACTTTCTTGGTGATGGGAACCCTTGAACCTAACTACATAATTTAACATGTTATTTTCGTACAAAGAAAATTTAGCTCGGTTCGATCTATCATATCAAACATGTTAATAAAAAAAAAACCAAAAAATAAACTTGATTTAGGCACCAGTCAAACCAAGAGAGACAAATAAGAATCACTGTGTGCAGTACTTGATTTGCCAACATACTTGCTCAAGACTAAGTTTAAATAATTTTTTGTCTCATCTCTCTAACAAGTTAAATGTTGAGGTGACATAGTTTTACATCTTACCATCAAGGATCATTGCCCCGTTTCTTGAACATTTGATATAAGACCTTTAATAAAAAAAATAAAAGATGAATTTTGGTGTACCTATAGCTATGGGGTCCTGTGGCATACTGAATTTAACCTAAGGTGTGTCACTTACCAACACAGTTTTTAATTAAAATAGTTCAATGATAGTACTCTCATTTTCGATTATTGTGTGGTTTTCGTGTCTATGATAACTGGTTGTCATTAACGCAAATTACATGAGATTAACATAATATGGAAGTAATTTTAAATTCAAATCTCTTTTGTCATCTATTTATGAAAATTGTGCACAACTGCATATGATATTTTAAAAAAAATAAAAATTAACGTCCATTTTGCTGCAGATTACTTAAACAAGCAGTGCAATCAAGATTTCCTAAACTGTATAGCAAGATTTAAGAAATCGAGAGCCCCCACATTCAAAGGAAACACGTGTAAAGTCGATGAAGTCGTTCAAGTCATTAACAAGGTCATGAGTGCCGCCATTGTTGCTGGAAAAATTATTGGTAAACCTTAAATTTAAGTAAAATGATAGTGATTATTTAAAAAGGAGAGTTCAATTATTTGATTGTGACTACAAATCTGTCTAGAATTAATTATTGAGAATTATGCTTGTATTTAATCCTTAAACTATGCCATCTGTGAAATGGCTGTCACCAGTATGAAATTAATAATGTTTTTTATAGACGAATGAATGTATACTTGTCTGTTGCTTTATAAGGTGACGTCGTGGGATCCGAACACATAATTTATTTTTGTACTTTTTGTGAAATGATTAGATAATAGATTATATTTTATGTATATCGTGGAAACTTGTCCTCCAATAAAAGAGTAATTAGCACAAAATGTCATTTTCTTTCAATATTATTATGCAAAAAGTTCCGACCTTTCATTTTTTTGACATTTTCACCCCTATTTTCACTTTTCATTGTGAAAATCATCATTTTTATTCAATTTCTCAATAAAAAAAATGTAAAATAACAAATATACCTCCTATTTAAATTTTAAAAAAATAAAGAACAAATTACAATCATACTCCCGAACTTTTTAAAAAGTGCAAATGAGTCCAAATAAATTATTAAAATGGTAAATAGCACAAACGTCCTTACATTTCAATATTATTGTGTAAAACATCTCCACCTTTCATTTTTTGACACTCCACCTTCATTTTCACATCTCATTGCAAAAATCATCATTTTTATCAATTTTCTCAAATAAAAGCTATAAAATGACAATATACCCTCCTATTTTAAGTAAAACAAAAATAAAGAACAAATTACAACTATACTCCAAATTTTTCAAAAAAAAAAATACAAATAAATAATTTTAAAAAAAATGATTTTTTTTTTAATTTAGTTTTTAATTATTTATTTGGATTATGTGGATTCGGCCATTGAAAAATTTATCGCGGTTTCAACATATTGATGCAATAAGGAACAAGAACAAGCCTAATCCAAATATTGAGGGGTAAAGTGGATGAAACTTCCATTATATGGCCTTGATTTTGGATGGAAAAATGAAATATTGATGGCTCCTACATCGGCACTGCCAATTTCACAAATGACCCTTGCAATTGTTGTCAAGCGTGATGGCCAGCATTTATATACAATGGGCTCATACTTTTCTTCTGTAATGGACTTGCCCCCATATAATCCTTTCGCGTAGAGGCTATTTTGTGTAATATTAGCTTGCGTATTGCCTACTTGAATTGTTTGCCAACTCTATTAGATAGCAGTAAGATTTAACCTTGCAAAATCACAAAGTTAAAAATTATAGTTGGAAAAGCAAAAACAAAGAATTGAAGAAACCAAACTGTTAAACTGAATCTCTAATATGCTCTGTAATGATGGTATAATTAGGGGTTCAGATCACAAGCCAATCTCCACAAATAGGACCAAAGACCAAAACTGAACAGCCCGCTGAGGGTTCCACACAGATATGAATGGAGGCTTCACGAAGAAGGAAGAAACCGAGCACAGAAATGAAGGCAGAGGTACGGTATGCACAGCAAAGGAGGCAGCTGCAAGTTCTCATAAAAAAACAGAGGAAAAGCCTTTGTATTGTACAAAAGCCAAAGGAACAAGTCCCTTATATAATAGGCAATCAGATTACAATAAATGGGTCGTCAGAATAAATCATCAAGCAACTCAGTCGAATCCTCCGAGTGATTTATTCAATGGTCTTTAGTCTATTTTTGTAATTAGGCTATCAAATCATTGCAACAAAGATGATTAGATACTCCAGGCGAATACGCAACGAGAAAAAGACACATCCATCGAACTGCTTCCCTTCTGCAGAAGAAACAAAATTAATAAAGAATGAAGCAGCAGCTACAACTCAAAGTTTTTGCTAAATTTACGCTATGTTTAAGGATTTAGTGAATGAGGGATCATTCTTTTCTTTTTGAGGACATAACCATTTGCACTTGTTAGGCCGAAATCCAGCAATACCCAAGGTGATACAGGACTCAGTTTCCACCAAAATCGACACAACCACGATTGAGACACACCTAACTTTCACTTGTCTTCTTCCCACCTACGGTTGCTATTCATACCCACAAAGAGTCGGCAAAGATGAAAACAATATAGCCCAAGAGAAAACCACACAGGTTGCTTGAGAGAAAAGAGGCCGAGAATCAGCAGAGAAGAGATCACAGAGAGAGAGGTGGAGAAGACGGCTTATTGGAGGCGTAGAGGAGCCTAGAGTTATAGACTAAGGGAGTGATCAAAAAAGGTAAGTTAGGATAGGTTAACTTAGTGGTCCAAAAAAGGCTCAACACTAAGATAATGGGCTCCAAATAAATATCGTATCCATCCAAGTAAATGGGACGAAAAATTGGGTTGAGTTGTCTTGATGATAGTGTCAACATATAGTTCAATTATATGGTCAAGGCCGACTGATAATAAATAAAATCGAGGTTACATCATTTGCCCGAGAGGTCGTTGGACAACAAATTGCCTAACAACTTCCACCTTAGTGTCAAAGGACCTGCAAAAGAAAATGTCTCTCATTAGTGACACCTCTAATAGAAAATCAATAAAATTGGAAGTCATTTACCTGTACCAATATTTAGAAGTTCTTTGCAACTTCTAAACTTTGCCAGTGGCAGTACCTTCGTGCCCATATCAGAAGGATTGTAGTGGGTGTGGACCTTTTCAAGTCTTACCAACTCTTGAGATACTATATCTCTAATGAAGTGGAGTCTAACGTCAATATGTTTAGTGCGCTCATGAAAAATGGGGTTCTTACACAAATGTATAGATTACTGACTATCAGAATACAATGCCACATAATCATTCAAGACACATAGTTCATGGAGTAGGCCTATAAACCATAAAGTTTCTTTAATAGCTTAAATGGTGGCAATATATTCTGATTTTGTAGTGAATAATGTAACAATGTGTTGTAATTGTGATTTCCAACTAACACATGAATTAGATAAGGTAAACACGTAAGACGAAGTAGATTTTCTATCATCTCTATCTCTAGCATAATCAGCATCTACAAAATCCTTTAATTTTACACTTTCTTTATAAGCACTAAACTTTAAACCTATGTCACTTGTACCCTTCAAGTACTTTAATAGCCACTTTAGCGCTTCCCAGTATTTAGGGCCCGGATTAGCCATGTAACTACTGAGAGTACTAACAGCAAAACTTAAATCTGGTCTAGTGCAAACCATCAAATACATTATGGAACCAATCACATTGGATAAGGCACTCTACTCATATATTCTACTTTACGCTCATTGAAAGGAGATTCTTCTTTCGATAAAATAAAATGATTAGCAAGAGGCAACGTGACAGGTTTGCAATCACTCATATTAAATTTCTTCAATACTTTAGATATGTATGAAGACTGATGTAAGAACAAAACGAAATTTGACTTATCTCTTTCTATTTCCATGCCTAAGATTCTCTTAGCCTTATCTAAGTCTTTCATGTCAAATTCACCACTTAGTTTTACTTTTATGTTATTTATCCACTTAGAGGAGGATCCAATCAACAGCGTGTCGTCCACATAGAGCAACAAAAACAGATAATTATCATCAGTCTCATTGTGTTAAAAATACAAGCAGTGATCAAATTTACTTCTTTGGAACCCTATAGTGAGTACAAATGAATCAAACCTCTTGTACCACTGTCTAGGAGATTGTTTTAACCCATACAAGGATCTTCTCAGAAAACACACATAATCAAATATTTTTGTTGATTCATGAAGATTTGTTCATCAAGCTCACCATGTAAAAAGGCAATTTTTACATCAAGTTTCCAGTCAAAGTGTGCAACCAATATGAGCATGACCCTAATAGTAGTGTACTTAACAACTGGTGAGAAAATTTCACTATAATCATTGCCTCCTTCTGTGTGTAACCTTTAGCCACTAACCTAACTTCAAATCTTAAGAGTTCCGAGCTACTAGTACCTTCCTTAACCTTAAAGACCCATTTGCAATCAACAATCGATTTGTTCTTAGGCCTAGGTACTAGCTTCCAAGTATGATTTTTTTCTAGAGAACTCATCTCTTCTTTCATTACCTTAAGTTATTCATTAGATTGATCACTACCTATCACCTCTACAAAGGTTTTTGGCTCTTTATCAGCTAATTCTTCATAACTATCATAGGCAAAAGCAAATTCAGATTCAAAACCGAACCTTCTAGGTTCTCTCGTTTGTCTCTTCTCTCTATCCTTAATTAAGTTGTAGTTAGCTAAAGGATTTTCTTCCTCGTAGTATTTTTCTATCACTACTTCATTACTATTCTCCACCTCAGGTTCCTGAACCTGAATCTCCACCTCATTAGGAGCAGTAGGGACAGGTGTACTGAGTTTTCCTAACTCCACCTTAAACGGGTCTCTCTCTTCACCGGGTTCAGTTTCACTCTCAGGTTCGGTTTCCCCTTTAATACACGATATCTCATTCTCGTTAAATGTAACATCTTTACTTATGAAGATCTTAACCCCTTTTTGGCTTCTATCCCATAACCTATTTAACACCCTCGGGGTATCCTAGAAAGATACACTTCCTAGCTCTAGGTCCCAACTTTCCCTCACTCTAATGAGAAAAAGCAGTACAGCCAAAAGTTCTAAGTATCGAGTAATCACTCAGTTTACCCGACCATCTCTCACGTGGAGTGTCACCATTCAATGCAGCAGAAAGAGTCAAGTTAATCAAATAACAAGCAGTCATAACAGCCTCATCCCAAAACGACTTGGGAACACTAGAACTTAACATCATGCAACGTTCTTTATCAGGTATGGTCCTATTCATCCTTTTCACTAACTCGTTTTGCTGGGAGTATAAGAAACGGTCTTATGTCTAGTTATGTCGTTTTCTTTACACATACTATCAAATTTAGTATTGTAGAATTCTAGGCCGTTATCTATCCTTAAAAATTTAATTTTCTTGCTAGTTTGGTTTTCCACTTGTCTCTTCCAGTTATTAAAACTATTAAAACTCTCAGATTTATCTTTCAATAGATAGACCCACACTTTCCTAGTATAGTCATCGATAATAGACAAGAAATACCTATTCCCACTCGATGTGGGATTACTAGCAGGACCCCACAGATCAGAATGCACATATTCAAGCATGCATTTAACTCTATTAACACTCATGGAGAAGGAAGTTTTATGATGCTTACCAAGCACACATAGATCACAAAATGACAAATCTGACACACAGTCATTACCAAATGCA